AGAGTAAGTTGTGATTTTAAACAAATACCTTCTCTAGTTCCTGGATGTGCTTTCCTCGAGTTTAAAGTTTAAATGGCTTTTTTTTTTTTCCCCCTCCTTCTGTTCCCATAGGCACATCTGAACTTGTTTTCCTCCTCCCTCCCTCCCACCCCACTCCCCCCCAGTCTGATCTGGAGCTTTTGAGGCAGCTGTACTAAGAAAGATTTGAATATATTAATAGGGCTTAAAGACACTTTTCATGGTGACCTTTAAAGTATCTCAAGCTGTGAGCTAACTCTAGTCTGGAATGGGGAGGACTGTTCAGCTCGAGATCTCAGGATAAACGAAGCGCAGCACTTTTGTATGCTTCTCTGCGTTTTATTCTGTAAAATGACGCAAGTAGTGAATTCAAATCTCAGCTGCCTCTTTCTGAAAAGCTACTTATTTAGGCAGGTGTTACTAAGTTGATGATTTCGCTGTTTAAAAAGTTTTTCCCATTCAGCTCAATGATACTTTTTTTTTTTTTGAATTGTGCTGCTTAGCTGCCAGCCGGAGTTTTATTTAGCATATACTGCCTAGGAGAGTGTGGTACTTCCAGGCATCGGTTGAAATTGTGATATGAAAGAGCCATTGTCTTTGGCAAAGCAGCTGCGCTCTTAAGCTAAAGACACTGACTTTTAAGCTGCTATTAATTAAAAAGCAGTTGTGAACTGTTGTCATACTCAAACAGTATTTCAACACACCCATATTTTATTGAAAGTAAATCTTTCCATTATGTACTGTATTGTATTTGTCCTTTGTAAATAAATGAAGGATGCTGACTTCAAGCTTTGAGCTAAAGTAACACCCTTTTTTACCAGATATTTTATGTCAATGAAGCTGCAGAGGTAGCAGGTTGGTTTAGCATGAGTAGACTGCTAATGGGGTCTGTGTGATGGGACTGCTCAGACAAAATTTGGGGTACTATTATGTTAAAAGAACGTGTATGTGTTCATACTAGAGTCTGAGTAAGCTGGCATGTCAAAACTTGTCAGAGGGAAGCACAGAAGTGTATGAAAGAAAACATTGTCCTCTTGGGAATGTTGGGAGGAAAACTACGTCATTCATTTTTAATTACACCTATTAACACTGCTCCGTGTATAAGGCTTCCTGATGATGCCATTGCTAAGCGTGTTTTTCAGGACTTTGTGTACATTTCAAGTGAGCTGAGGTTTAAACTTGCTCTGTAGGTTCCTATACTGTGATTAAGTAAAGAGAAGGTGATAAACAAGCAAGTATCTTGTGTCCAAGAGCAGTGAATGGCCTGGAAACTGCTGCAACATTGTGTAACTACAGAGTGCGTTTAGCTAAAGGCTTTGCAGAGTAGACTGCGAAAGTAAGATAGTATCTTACCATTTATTTCAGGTTTCCAAGTAGTCGATTTTAATTCAGGCTATAGTGAGTTTTCTTTTCCTGTTTTCTCCCATATCTATCTCATAAGGCGGAAGTCGTGAAGAAATGGGACAGCGATAATGAAAATTAGGAATGTGAATGTGGGTGAAATGGTAACCAGTGTTCCTCCTACTTTAGAGGCGTTAAATAAAAAAAAGGGAAGGGGGAGGGAAAAAAAAAAGCATTGTGTTGATGGATAACTCAGTAAATACCATTGATATAAAGCATTTGTCTGCACCCAGCAGCATGGAGATGGTCAAAGTAATTAGGACAAGAGTTTTTGTGTCTTTGCAATTTAAGGGCAAAAATCAGTGCTGTTCAGAGCAATGTTATATTGAATGGCCTGTGATATTTGTAATTGGCATGTACTGTAGAGTGTACTGGTACGTTGGGGAGAAAAGAGAAGCTGTGTAGATGTGCATATGGATTGTTCTGCCTGAAATGGGGAAGAGAAGCAGTTAATGTGTAAAGGGAATAGCTGATAAAGTTAGGCAGCAGGGGCTGTGCATCTGGCTGAGGCAAACGAAATGCAAAGAATGAATTTAAATCTTTACTTGAAGATACATATCAAGTACCATAGGTACTCTAACTTTGACATGGACATGGGTGGGGGTGCTTACAGGGAGAACTGATGGATGAAACAAAAAAAAGCGGTAGCCTCCACATGATCGGTGTCATGTACCCAATGAATATAAATTGAAAACCACTGAGTGCCTTGAGACAGATGGGCTTTCACAGGTAAAGCTTTCTCTGGCCACTGGGCACTGTACCCTCATTTGTCCACCCATCACCTCGCTGGAAACAGCAGCTTCCCTTTAGCTGAGTCAGGGAAAGAGGACATGCCACCACACCGTAGCCGTTCAGCGTAGTGTTCCAGCAAATTGGCCTGAATCCTCAGTGAACAAGTAGCTGGGAACACTGTAAAACCAAAACCTAAGTATGAGTCAAAATCCTTAGTCTTGTTTAGGGTGCCACCAGAATCAGTTGTCAAGTTCTGAAGTTGGTGTGATTTTGTGCTGAGTAAGGGCTGTGACTAAGAAGTGTAAGGCAAAGTAGGTCTTCAGGCTTTAGGCACTCAGAGTTTGCCAGCTTTGCTTCTTAAATCTAAATTTAAGTTAGAAAAGTGCGTAGGTTTATCTGTGCTGCATTATCATAATTTTTCCACACAAATTACTGTAGGAAGCTTTTCAATAGGTTTTGATTTTGGCTAAAACCTGGTAACGTCACAAGGTGATTTTAGGAGGCCTGGAGTGGCTGATATATTTAGCTCGAGAGGGATGTGGGAAGATCTGCCTGGTGGAGCTGTGGCCACTCTAAAGGGTGCCCAGCCCTTCTCTTTGCATCTTTAAAATGCAACGCAGGTGCTGGGAAGTCCCCCTCACCCGCTTTCTCAACTCCACACTCCAGTACAGCAGAAATGGCACAAAAATATTCCCTGAGGAGTGCCTGGGCCTGGTTAGAATGGGGGTGAAGTGCTCTAAAAGAGGTTGTGTAAGGATATGTTTGACCTGACAATTTGGAAACGGTGCTGGATGTGTTTAAGCAAGGTAGTGTAAGTAAATATCAATTAACTAATCTGAAGACAAGTAAACATTGGAGTAAACTGTATGGAAAAGTACCTTCTCTTGTGGGAACTTGGGAAGCTTTAGAAGCTGGGAGGAGAGACATCCAGGTGGGATGGTGGGTAAAGCATTTACATCAACCATGACCTTCCCATCCTGATGGGAGAGACATCCAGGTGGGATGGTGGGTAAAGCATTTACATCAACCTTCCCATCTTGATATTTTTGTTCTGCTCTCTTTATCTATTTGGACAAATGACATTATTAAGCAAAGTGTCACTTGTTCTCATATGGGAAGCAGTGTGTGTGTCTTGCGGGAGGTAGGGAGGTCTGTTTTGTCTTAATCTATGTAATGCTTTTGTATAGCATGGCTCACTGATAATTGAACATATAGTAGTTCACACATAGTAGTGTGTTTATCAGTGATTTTTTTTCCTGGTGAAATTGAGCACGTCACTATTTGCTTTCACTTCTGCATGGAAACACTATGGTTTGGAGATCCTTGCCCTTCCCTTTTTGTTAATGTGACCATAATGTAAAAATCTTCCTCGTTTATTGCTCTTTGGTGTTTGACACTGTTTTTACACTTTCTGAAAGTGCTGAATCTGGTGGCTGGCTAAGGCTTCCTTTGAAAAGTGAGACTATGCCAATAACCAGGGAGGGTAAGAAAATTTAGTAATTCTGATATATGGGGGCATAATCAGTAGAAAGTAAGGAGTTTCAGGATATATTAGAGTAGAATTTACATGACTGTCACATGAGAATACTGTTGGGGTTTGGGTTTTCTGTGGTATTTTTTTGAAGAACTAGTTAATTTATTATAACAAGGTCTCAAAACATGAGCAACCCTATCTGCGGACGTCTAGAATGACACAGCCTGAATGCAAGAAGATGTTATCTTTTTAATAAACAGCTTTCTGAATTTCCTTTATTTTGATTTTTGTCTTTAGAATCCCATGTTATTCTGCAGCTTGTGTTTTCTGAAGCCTGGAAATTGGCCCAGATGCTGTCATACCTTCCTTTCACAACAGAGAGAGGTCATTTAGTTCCTGGTCATTGAAACTCTTGAAAAGCTTTTCCTCCACCATACTCCCCTAAAACCTCTGCTTTAAAAGGAAGCAGAAGATGTAGCTATTATAAGTTTCCTTGATAACAAAGTGAGCTGAAATTCCCAGGAGGCGGTGCTTTTTTAACTGAGTCAATGTAAAAAGTTGAGGGACTGAGCCAGTTCTTGGAAATGATTCAAATATGAAAAAACATCTGGGTAGGGGAAGTAGCAGTTCATGATACTTGGGGAGCATGGATTTCTTACAGCAGTTTTGCTGTCAAAACAAGTGTGTTTTGTAAATAACACCCTCAGTGAAGCCTGAACTCGTTTGAGAATAGATTGTTCAGTAATTATTTCTACTATGGTGTACCATTTGTATGGCTGTTGATTAGTTGGCAGTTTTGCCGGTACACTTTGGATGTGTGAGATGAAGTCATTAAACATGTAAGTGTGGGAAGGAAAAACGGTTCTGAAACACTCTGTGTCTTCCCATTAGTGCCTGACACCTTAAAAATATTGGTGCTTGGTTAAATATGAAGCTGTTGACTCGTTTATGCCTAGGCATTAACTGTGTAAACCATCTCTAAGGTCAGATATCATCTTATTAGAATAAAGAGCTCATTAATAAAGTATAGCACAAATGGCTTTATTCTGTAATCGTTGCTAGGGTGGGGTAGCATTTAGGAGCTCTTCCTCAGTTAGGAACTAGTCATCAGTTGCCTAGAATGGTGGGTTTGATCCTACGTCTGTTGTTCCCTGGGTGGACCTCAAATCTGCAAGTGTCTTTGTTCCTGTATTTTATTTAATGCAGAAATTGATTGCAGCACTGAAGTTGTGCTTGAATTACTTGTTGATTTATTTGACCTCTTGTTTTATTGGCAGAATTCATTGCAGGTGAAAGACTGAAGTGAAGAATCCAATGTAATTTTAATTGTCTTGGTAATTTGATCTTCATTTGCTTAAATATCTTGTGTACACAGTGAGGAGCTAGGAGAATTCATGGAGGTGAAAGGTGCCAACAGCCCTGGGATCCTTGTACTGACCACAGGCCTCAGCAAACCCTTTATGCGTCTGGATAAATACCCCACGTTACTCAAAGAACTTGAAAGGCACATGGAGGTATATCTTATCAGCATTTATGTTCCAGCTTAATGATGATTTGACAACAATTATTTTAAAGGTACATGTCAAACATGATGGGACCCAAAATTATATTTGTTTGCTCTTCCGTCAGCCTTCTAAAATATGGGCTGCAAGGGTTTAAAACTTAGTGCAGTAAAACTTCCTGTAAAAGTTAAACTTTTAGAGTAAATCTAGCCAAAGAAGCTAATCTTCACTCCTAGAACAGTCTTGCAGCATCTTTGGTTGACTTGGCATTGAATGTGTTTCCCGTTACTACTTGAGGCTTATCTTGTAGGAGTGCTGCTTCTCATCTTAGGACCTCAGCGTGTTGAACACATCACCTAAATAGTCCCTTTGACACTGTCCAAAAATGATCTTTCCTGTATGGGAAGGTGTTTGAAGAGCTGCAGCTTCTGCTTTTGCATTTTATAGGTTAGATTTTTTTGAGCGTGAAAGCAGGAGAGAAATAGAAAGCATATGGGTCTTTGTCTTGTCACACAATTTGGTTTGTCAGTTAGTGACAATGAAACATACTAGTCTGTAAGGAATCTAGTTTTTGACAAAGCTAAAGTGCCAAAGCTTTCCTATTAGGATTTCAAAATCTCTTGTCCCCTAGGTCTCGTAAAACTTCCTTGGTTCTATTTTAAGCATAAGTTGGAATGTTCTAAGTGACTCTTCATTTTTACTACAAGCCACCAGTGTTTGATATAAGAATAGGAAGGCTGTGAAAAGAGAGCAGATAAGTCTACAATTTCTATTTTACAGGATTGTTTATCTGTTTTTAGTTAAGCCTCTAAATTTTTTTAATGAATTTTACTAGAACTAAAGTTTTTGTTGTATGTTTTCTCCATTGTTTTTAGGATTATCATCCGGATCGCCCAGATATTCAAAAATCCATGACTGCCTTCAAAAATCTTTCTGTAAGAGTGATTAAAAAAAATAGATAATATAAGTAAAGTGTTTTATAATTTCATCCCCCTCTATTGCTTTTAAAAAGTAGAGCTTTTTTGTAAATGTTTGTATAAGAAATTTTTGAAATCCTGGAAATCGATTCTCTTTGTGGGCAGAGCCCAAGGATGGTAATTTGCTGGGGAGATATAGCACATAGACTATTGATGGAAGAGCCAAGTAAGCGTTCTGCACCTCTTGGTCTGCCCTCTCACTTTGCATCATTTCCCCTTCTTCTAGTGCTAGCATAACTAGTGCCCTGAAGAAGGGCTTCTTTGCAGCATTTGAGTATATTCTCTGAGTTTTTTAGTAAGTGCATTCCTTAGAAGGGAATGATGTTAGGACTGGGGGGAGAGCCTGTGAAGGGGAAAGTGCTAGGAAACTCAGAAGACATGAAGCTTTTAATAGTAATTGGAGGAGAGAGCCTAATTTGAACAGATGAGCTGTCTGCTGTTGTCTTAAAAAAAAAGTCAACTGCAACAGGCATTTATTTAATACAATTTTGGTTACAATAATCTTTTGTGTTTCCTGTTAGGAGTGTGTGCTGGTGGTAACCTGGCATTTTCTATTTTTTATTTTTTAAAGCAGATATTTAGTGTTATCTCTGTTCAGAAGAGGTTTGGGGATACCGTTCTGTTGGGTGTTTTACTAATGAGAGGAAACCTTGTTGAGAAAAATTAAAATGAGATGAGTGGGAGTACGGCTAGTAGAGCAGGTTGGGGACATATGAAAAATAGGAGCACAAGGTTATATGCACTCATAGTTTGCACAGTTAGCATGGCTTTTTTTACTAAAAAAGATGCTTTGTTGTATAATCGTGTATTCATGACACCTGTTACTCTTTTCTGCTAAGCCTAGTAATTTTTGTTTGGAAGTACAAAAATTTAAAATGTGAAGGAAGGAGAAATTTGAGAAACGGGACTATCACTGAATTTGGGAAGGTAATCGAAGTCAGTGCATTGAAAGAAAAGTAATACTGAAGTTTGCAAAAACTAGCTTTAGAAGAAATATTGGTAATAGTCATTGAAATGAAAATTATTCAAGTTAGGTGGTGTCTTCTGCGTACTCCAAGCACAACAGTAAATACAATTGTAATGGTATTTCTACACTTAAACCTGCTGCAGATTTGATAGAGTTGATAGCGATGGTATTTTTCCTTATCTTTGTTAGGCACAATGTCAAGAAGTACGGAAACGGAAAGAACTTGAACTGCAAATACTGACGGAAGCTATCCGTTGTTGGGAGGGAGAGGACATTAAAACACTTGGCAACGTGATTTACATGTCCCAGGTCATGATTCAGTGTGCTGGAAGTGAGGTAATGTCCTTCTTGTCTTTACTGTCAGTCTTTCTTTCCGTTTTGAATCAAATTTATTATAATCATTACGTAGCAGAAATAAACAGAATGCTTCAGAGATACTAATCTAGACTAAAATATCTCTCTACTGATTTAAAGCTTTTATTACAAAATGTCCTTGAAGATGGATGGCCTCATGTGTAAAATTTACTGAAATGTAACCAAATATAGCAGCTATAAACACTGATTTTGAAGGACTGTTTTCAAAGTGTGTAATTAAACAGGATTTTCCATGTGTAGTTACATTACAGGACCATTTTGCCTAGCAGTCATTATGGAGTGTTTTAAATATCAAAAACTTTCAAGTTTTGTATTGCAAGGTGTCTGAGGCACACTGGTTTTTTTCTTGTTGTTTTGGGAACTCTGCTCAAGTAGTGAATTTTTAAATCCAAGCTTTACAACCAAGTGGTTTTGGAGAAATAGAATAAGAAGAGGCTTTAGAAAGTTGAAGGTGACACTGTAAGGTCTGGGGTGATTTTTTTTAAAACAAACCAGACAAATAAAACACATAAAGAAAAGGTTGCCCTACCAAAAATGTTAAAGTAATCTTAAAAGCAAGTGCTAGCAGAAAGGAAATGTTACACAGATTACTGACGCGTTTTTACTGTCAGTTGTTCCCCTGTAAAATCAATGAAGCTTTGAACCTGGTGGAGGCTTTTAAATTGCAACCTCATTCAGTCAGTTTCCTCCCTTAGAACAAAGGTGTCCATAAATATGAAGAAAGAAGAAAGCGTTTATGCAACTGAATATTTAAAAAATTCGTCACCTGGTATTTTTCTGTCAGATGTTTTGTTAGGTGTTAAAATAAATAATTAAGATTCAGTAGAGCTGATAGTGCATCTTTTGCAGTCAGGTCTCTTCTAGTCTTAAAAACAAAAGAGCACCCCTCCCCGCCCCCCCCAGCTCATCATGAGCTGAAATGTCAAATTTAATGGACTTTCAGAAGTTTCTGCATAGCATTGAAGCTTTTCTAGATAGCTGAACAGCTAGGTAGAGAACAGCTCCCTTTGTGGAAGAGCAATTGGTACTGGTTTTATCTTTTTAAAAATGATACAGACATTTGTAAATGTTTACTGAAAAACAGAAACATTAGAACTTGGTAAGGACTTGCATTTTTTTGTGAAGAGGTTTGAAATTGAGACTTTGAGTTTGTCAATGGATATATTTGTTTTGTCATTAAAACATACCTTAATGCCTCTTTCTTCCATTGTTTGTCTATAGTGGTAGATTAAGTGTAAACCACCACCTCCATCCATAACTTCTTAAGTGAAACTAGCAAATTAGAACCAGAACAAAGTAATGTGTGTTTTTATTGTGAATATAAGAATTATTACTTTTCCTTCATGTTCTTTTTCTACTTTGGGGTCTAATCCAACACCGTTCAAAAATCTGGTCTCGCCATGGTCTTGATATTAGAGTAACAGCATACTTTTAAATTATGTTAAGAAATATATCCAACATGTAATTTTGGTTTTGCTGAAATTGACAAAACAGTTATTACCATATTAAACACAGTCAGTATTTCACCCAGGCTGTAAAATGTCTGTTTTAAAATATTAGGCTGTACTCTCCAGGAAGAAATATTGGCATGTGTTACTAGCACTTTTTAAATAGAAAATCAAATAATTCTGTTTTTTTTTTTTTTTTATTTTATTCAACTGAGAGCTAATTTTGCCAGGAGCAAATATTTGTGGAGTAATTATGGAGTTGTAACATTGATGGTAGTTTTTAATAATATAAAACAGAAAAAGGGGGGAGGGGGCTTGTGATGTTGTATTTACTTTTTCATTTTCTTTTTTTGATAAGGAAAAGAATGAAAGGTATCTTCTTCTCTTCCCTAACATTTTGCTGATGTTGTCTGCCAGCCCAAGAATGAGTGGGTTTATCTATCAGGTAAAGTAATACATGAACATACGTGTATAAAAGCATTGAGGGGTGGGTTTGTTTCTAAATAGTATTTCATAGAAAATTTGGAAGGATTGATAAACTTCCGCATTTATAAAGTTAAAAGCTAATTTCTGCAATACGAACCGGTCATTGGTGTTACAAATTAGACTCAGGCTTCTAGCACAGAATTTTATTACTATGTTTTTTAGCTGTTAAAATCAGCAAGGTTTGGACTTTTTTACATTGTTAGTAGTAGCTAATGAGAGGAAGTGTAGATAGCCTTTTAGATCTACATAGGAAAATGATGGTGTTTTACAGGTTTGTTAGTGCTCTTCCAACTGCTGCTTGAATCTTACCAAAACTAGACAGCTCTGCTAAGTTTAGCTGAGTTTCTTTAGGCGTGTTCTGCATTAGTGTTTTATCTTTGAATCAGCAGGCAACTTCTGAAATGAATCTTCTAGTCTTCCCTGTTTAGTGATCTTTGAGTCACAGTGCAGAAGTAGTCTCGGGGCTGACAGGCTGGATTCCCTCGGGGTGAAGCTGAACTGGAAGGCATGCTCCAAAAGTGCATTTGATCTGCTATGGCTACTGGAGCAGATCAGGTACATGGACTGGCATTCAGTTTTGCAGAAGCACCTGCATTCTGGGTGTGTAGTTTCAAAGACTCCAGAGAGATGAAATAAATGCATAGTCCATGAGTTTCTGAATTAATTATAAATGTTCTAGTATTGTTATGCGATTTACAGACATCACATTAAACCACCAAAATTTCTGAAAGAAGCCTGAGATTTCACCTGCTGTAAGTGCTTCTGTAAATCAGTCTCTCGAGCAGTTCCTTTTCTTGAGCAGTGACTCATCTGCTGTGAGGGAATGCTGGAGCACAGTCATTTGGGGTTCCTATGGAATTGGCTACATCCAGTCACACTCTGGCTTTTTTTAGAGCAACTAAATTCCAAAATTCATGTTTGAATTTGTATCTTACCTGCCATGGTAGCAGCTGCATTTTTCTAAGACTGTGTTGGTTAGGTGATTCAAATGCACAGTCCAGTTTCTCTTAGCTTTGTGCTCCTTGTCAGAATCTTTGGCCAGTGATTTATCCCAACAAAGATGGAAGAAAAATACTAGAAAGAGCAGGTGAGCTCTTTATCTCAAGTAGCACATCTAGAATTTCTGATGAAGAAAAATTCTTGTGTACGAGTTACAAATGTAACTGACTGGAAATTTAGTGTGTTAACGAACAATGTAAAATAAATAATGAATCTGTCAGGTTTGATTTTACTCCCACCTTGTCTGCCAGGTGTATAGTTCAGCAAATAAGCAATTTTCTGTGCATTTGTCTTCAGCTTCTGCTCAGTATGGCCACAACAATAGTGTCTGCTGCGTGACCTTCTGTTGAATGCAAAAGTCTTAATTTCCTCATAACCTCTCACATGATTTTCCTGAAACTGAGAGCTTCTCAAATATTCATGACTACATACTCATACCAAGGCAAACTTACTTCATCACTGTGCGTGTCTGTCTGGATTGTGTAACATGGACTGCCTGGACTCTTCTTCTGAGGTTCTTGTCTCAGAACTGGGATGGATGCAGGCAGAAGATGATGCAACTTCTTCAGCCATTCCCAGGGAAACAGTGACTCCACTGGAGTCTGCATCCTACACTACACCTTCCCTGTATTTCTGAATATTCCAGTTTTCAACAGACTTCAGATGTTCTGGTTGATAGTGCTGATACCTGCCGCATGAGCTAATTGGGAGAATTTTTAGTAGTGGTAAACTGAAGTCACAAGGGACACAATCTATACTTTACAAAATGGCTTTGCAGTTTTGTTGAAAAAGAATATAAATGATTCATGAGTTCAGTTCCATTTTCTCTGTGTTTTGCTGACTTCATACTTTTTCTCTCCATGTGGCTCAGGTGATCTTTGATCTCTCTTGGTGTATCCCCATATTTTCTTTTCACCTATGTCAGCAGTTCTTGCACCTCTCTGTGTGGCTGCACGCTGTGTGATTCATGAACCGGTAGACATGGAAAAACAGAAGAGAATTTTAGGCTGCATTGTAGTGTATGACACCACCATGTTTTTCCTTCAGTGGGGAGGCTGTTGCAAGAAAACTCTTTGGCATCTTGGGCCTGAGCACACCCTGTGCACACAGAATACCAAGTGATACTTAGTTTCCACGATTCTAAGAAACCTTTGTCCATTCTGCAGTCATTAGGAAAGAAAAAATGGGAAAAAAGAGAGTTGTGTCTGTCCTGTCGCATGTCATGTCGTCCCACCCTCCCCCCAATCTGCATTGGATCCAAAATTCCACAGTACATAGTATTTGCACTTTTGCCAGCATGTGCTGAATAGTGTTTCTGTGCAGGAGAATACAGGATCTGTCTTAAAGAACTTTTATTAAAGTTGTATTTTTGGTAAAGCCTTTCATCCTGACAGTATTCAGTTTTACTTATTCTTCTGTGTTTCTGAAGAGTCAAAAAGTCATCCTAAACAGACTTTTTTTTCCAGCTTGACAGGGTTTAAATAAAAAATTTTCTTCTGCAAAACTAATATGTTCTTCTGAAACTTCACAAATTTAAAGGTGTTTTTACTGCTTTTGTTTTCCTTCCCCAAATATTTCTGAGTGAGTGTAGTAGTGGGGTTAGTGTAGAGATACAAATCTTCAGTAAATAATTGATGCATTTGTTTGGTGAAATCTTCTTTTCTAAATCTACTTGTACCACAAACCTTATTTTGAAAGCTAACTGACCAGTTTGCAAACAAATGTGCTTAACGTTGAGTCACCATTGCCTTTAGTCATGTAATATGGATGACGCTGAAGGTCTTGGTTCTGAGAACCTGAGGTGATGACCACTGTTAAATTTGTATGGACTTCATACCCTGCATAGTTATCAGATAGATTCATTGAAGTCACAGGTGTCATTTGCAGAAGTTGAGCATGTTAAAAACTTCCATTATAAGGTGTTTGTGTGGATTTTTAAATATTTTCAAGCCCTCAGTATGTGTGTGTTTGCCGATTCACTTTGTGTGTCTTTGTTCAGAACTTGAAGCTTGTATATTTTTTTTACTTGGTAATGTTTTGAATTTAACTTCAGTGTTACTGCCTTTTTTTTTAGGGGAAACTGCCAACGACAGGAATGACTATCACAAAGCTAGAAGATAGTGAAAATCATAAAAATGCATTTGAAATATCAGGTATTGGCCATACATATTTTTTTTTTATTGGCTACTTGCTCCAGGATAAGCTAGTTCAAACATAAAATGTTCTATCTCAACAGCAGGAAAATCTTTTTCACTGTGAGGGTGACCAAGCACTGGCACAGGTTGCCTGGAGACCTCTCCATCCTTGGAGATACTCAAAAGCTGTCTGGCCATGGTCCTGGGCAACCACCTGTAGATGTCTTTGCTTGAGCAGGTGTGGAGCAGATGACATACAGAGGTCCCTTCCTGCCTCAACCATCCTGTGATTATACAAATTTTGTAAGGCAGTTACCCAGAGCCTAACCCTGAAAGCTGCTTTTTACTGCTAGTCTTAAGCAGTTAACAAACTGTGTTTGTGTGGCATTTGTCCCCCAAGTTCTGTGTTTTAATGAATTGGTGGCAGTAGCCTTGGAGAAGATCCTTTATAATGAAGCAGTGCTACTCACTGGTTGAAAAGAAATTCCAGATACTCTGGAAGAGCTTTAAACAATAGCTTTCTTCTAGAAACAGTCCACCCCTGTCCTGAGAACCCTTTAGCATCTCTGCTAATGATGGTTGCCATTGTGCGTGCTTTGGGTAATTTCTGTCTGTTAGGACATCTGTTTCACCATATACCTAATTTTGTTGGTGGATTTAAAGGATGGTGGGAGCAGGGTCCACATGGTGGAGCTTTATACCTTCATTCATTTCCTGGGTCATTTCTGCCACCAAACAGGTTGCATTTAAGTGAAGTAACTTTTGCCCTCTCAAGTGGCAGGCAGTATCACACATAAGTGCTATGAGGCAGAGGGGAAAAAGCTGTTGATGGTGCATGTTCATCTGAGATAGTAGTTACAAAGCTGACCTGGGATGAGGAATGTGACGGGTTAAAATTGAGTTAACTGCAGGGATTAATCTTTGGTTAATCTTCCTGGTGGTTTCCCAAGTGACTTTTGCCTCAGCTTTAATATTAGAGAAGGTCAGTGAACTGTATTTTATAACTTTTCACAAATGGCAGCTTACAGACTCAAGAATGACATTTTAGGCTACATGCTGGCTTTACTGGGGAAGATTGAGAAGCATTTGGCTACTAGATAAGCCTGTCTTCTACACCTATCATTAAAGGTTGTCTTTAGTTAATACAGGTGGGGAAAAAGATGTAGAACTCCTGTGCCTGGCACGGGAGCAAATATGTGGAGGAAATGTCTCTTACAACCTGAAAAAGCCAAGATGCTGTTGTACTGAAAATACAGGTTAAAATTTTTGCTTAATACTTAGGGGATATGATGTTTCAGGGAATTAGTGTTGTTATAATTGTGTTGGATTAAGTTCTCTTTCTGCGGTTTCCTACATGTTCTATTTTCTGTCACCCAGGAAACATGATTGAAAGGATACTAGTGTCTTGTAACAACCAACAAGATTTGCATGAATGGGTGGATCACCTGCAGAAGCAAACCAAAGTCACAACTGTTGGGAATCCCACCATTAAACCTCACTCTGTGCCATCTCACACGGTAAGAAATAGCTTCTGAATTGGCGTGAATGTCTGCAGTGTCTGCAGAATTAGGTTTTCTGGCAAGCATACCACCATGTAAAGCGTTTTTTAGCCACTAGTAACAAGAACTGAGTGTTGTGACTGCAGTTTAATGGATCAAAAGATCATTCTGGTTTTAACTGCGTGAACAATGAATGCAATGTTTTGATCTTGGTGTAATAGTTTAACAGGATAAAAGAAGTTTCATTATCTTTACTTTTTCTGTTTTGACCAAATAGTACCTCACCATCTTTTAAGTATCCTTAGAGCAGTAGGTTCTAATTGGTGATGTACTTGACAAGCTGTGGAGAAACAATTTCCTTAAGTACCTTCTTTTTGGTACTGCCTTTGAGTTGTTGGATATGAATGGATCTAAATTTAGCTCCACCCTCAGTGGTGAGAGAAGTGGGAGCAGGCAGCTCGTAGCTATTCTTTCTTTAGTACATTCTTTGTTTGTGGTAGACAATAAACATTCCTTTAAGCTGCATTTTTCCAAAAAATAGTTTAGTATCAAAATCTTCAAAGGTCAGCTGTAATAAACAGAAGCACTAGAGAGCGAATGACGTTATTCCATCAATCCGTGATGATACTATATCTTTATGACAATATTGTGCTTTCTTTCTCTTCCCATCACCCTTGTGTCTTTGACAGCTTCCTTCCCATGCAGTAACACCCTCCAGCAAGCATTCAGACAGCAAGCCAATACCCCTGACTCCTGCATACCACACTCTCCCTCATCCGTCGCATCATGGGACCCCACATACCACGATAAACTGGGGACCTCTGGAACCTCCGAAAACCCCCAAGCCTTGGAGTCTGAGCTGCTTACGACCTGCACCTCCATTACGGCCTTCAGCTGCTCTTTGTTATAAAGAGGTGAGATGGAGCAGCCAAAGAGTAGGACTGTGTAGTAGGCCTACCATAGAAAGTTTAACTTTTTTTTTACACAGCACCATTTTGCGATTTTGTGTGGGTTTTTTGTATAAAGATGATTTAACAGCCATTGCTGAATCAATGGTAATAGACCAGTGAATGCTGCTCATTTCAAATGGGGATTTCATCTTGAGAAAATAGTAAGGCTTGTTAGGAAAGGCTTCCCCTGCCTCCCCCGAGTGCTTCCACTTACTTCCACTCTTTATCCAGTTAAGAAGTAAGATATTAATTTATTTATTTATTTTTAAAACTAGCAATTCCTTTGTTAAGTTGATCATCCAGGCTTATTGTGAAGTACCTTGTTTGCTAAGCACACTGCAAGGTATAATTGACTCTTGGTTCCTCAGTATTTACCACCGTTACTAGGTAACAATAGCACGTTTCAAAAGAAAAGAATGGTAGCTGTCAAAATACATGTAATGTTTTTGTACTCAAAGGTACTGATGGCTAATGTTACTGTTAGCAAAAAAAAAAAAGCTTAGCTTTTAAAGTGCTGTTGTAGTTTTTAATTAGCATACAGTATGAACCAGAAATCTGTTCCAAGACAAATAAAAAGTGGTATTTTAACCACAAAAAGATGGTGGCGATAGGTTTATTTGTTCCTGCCACTACGTTTTGTGTGGGTTTGTAAATAGTAAGAAAATGTTAGATTTGTGTTGGAAGTCTACATCTATGTAAAGAGGAGAATATTGGTTGTTCTATGGCTTGGTGATATCTCCTGTTTCAGTATCTTGGTCATGCTTCCTTATGATACTGATGTAACATTAAGCAGCAGGACCCAAAAAGAATCATACAGTTATGCCTAAGAACATTTGATTCTGCAAACATGAGATGTTGATAGAAAAAAATTATTTTGTAGACATGTAAATTGCAGAAACTGTAGCCTAAACTCTGTGCCCCCGCCCCCCTGTGTGTTTTGTTTTGTGTTTTTTTGTTGTTGTCTTTTTTTTTTTTTCCTGTTGTGGGTGTGCCTGTGTGACTTGTTTTTTCTTTTCTTTTGTAAATCCCCTGAAGGGAAAAAGTAATACGTGTTCTGCAATTGGCAGGTTAGTATTTAGGCTTAGTTGCTATAAGAGGTTCTTCTGTTTGGCTGTATGCTTATTTTGTAGTTTAAGTTTAATACCTTTAACGTTTTCATGAACTAAATTCTCCAATGTGGTAAAAATGTCAATCATCCTTACAGTGTTTAGCATACAATGATGTTCAAAACCAATATTCATCTTCTTTCATCTGTCCTGCTCATTCACCTTTTTACTTTCTTGTTCTGTATCTTTATAGAGGATGTCTTATATCCTTAAGGTAAGGGGTAGACCACTATATTCCTTGTGTTCCTGTAACCTAGCATTCTTCCTGTAAATTAGCATGACCACATTTTGAACAGAATTGCTGTCTTTGTTGCTGTATATTTTTTTTTTTGCTGTAAAGCTTTGTAAGAACAGACCTACACATATGCAGACTCTGGCTTTAAAGAGTATACTACCTGCCCAGCTTCCTTGTTAGGTCCTTTTTAACCTGCATCTAAGTAGACGAATGAAATGGGTTGTCTCTTCAAAAGTTAAGGAAAAAAATGTGTATTAATGTGTGCCTGCCTCTTCCCTTCACTCTAGCTCCCAAACAGCCTGCATGTTTTTGCAGCAGCTTTTCCGTATATTTCCTTTAATAGAACAGAAAAAAATACCTGATTTTGTGTATAGTTGGAGGAAGGGTAGAGGGTAAGTGAACCAGTTCAGGCAAATCAGATGTGCCCAAAAAATATTAGTAAACTGAATTTTGGTGCTGTTAAAAGATTTTTACTTAGTAATTCCTGTATGCGTCTTAAAAGTTCAGCTTTGAAATAATGTGGAGAAGTTCTACTCCTTTTTATTTTTATTCTCCCCACACAGGATCTCAGTAAAAGCCCTAAAACCATGAAAAAGCTGCTTCCCAAGCGCAAGCCAGAACGGAAGCCATCAGATGAAGAGTTTGCACTGAGAAAAAGTAAGAGACACTTGAACAAATATCTTTATAATGCAATTTGTAGAATTAACAACTGTTTAAATTCTGTGAAAGTTAGATGGACAGTGTAAGTAAGTTACCTGGTTTCTTCTCTCTCCTGTCAGGGGAGAGGAGTAGGTATCTCCAGAGGATGGTTTGTTTTATTCATTTTAGGTGCTTATGTCACTGTGGGATTAGTTGCTTTTGTAGAGTATCACTGTTGACTATAGTTGATACAGTTGCTTGTGAAGTGCCTGTGGATCTCTGTTTGCAACAGAGGGAAGGGAGGTTGGCTGCAGAGCCATGTAAAGTTCAGTGAGATAAACCTGTCTTTTAATACTGTGAACAACAATTTGAGCAGAAGAGATTCACGCAGCAGAAACTCTTCAAGACTAGTTTTTTCCTCAAGGAGGAAAACAGGAAAAATGCTTTTAAAACAATCAATTGTCTTTCCCCACACATAGACTCCTGGGTCCATCTAAACTGATATTAGAGGTAATAGATTTCGGTTTGATTGGAGTTTCGCTCGGTTGCAAGTGAACAATCTGACAGCATTTTTACTGAATTCCCCAAAGAGAAGATTTGTGGAGATCTACCTTTAGAAAATTTTTGCCATGTTAAGTTTGAATAGTTAGATATCTTTTTTCAGTAGTGCTTGTTTGTACTTTAAAGTGTGAGGAGTTTAATTACTGCACTTGTCACTATAATGTAAGCGTATCTGTGAAGTTTAATTACTGCACTTGTCACTATAATGTGACAAGTTATATTGTAACTTGTATCTGTGCAGTCTTTCCTACTACACACCAGACTGAAATTGTACTGACGTATTTATTATGCTGTTAATTCTGAGCTTAATTTTCAATAGTGTGTTGTTACCCCTTGGTAAATCTGATATATAGACAAAATCCAGAAGTTTTCAAGATCTATTTTCTGTGAATTAATATTCTGAATTAATTTCTGAATTAATTTCTTTGATTAAATAATAGCTATATAGTAACTGGAGTATACAGGGTTTTTTCAGTTCAGTGGCCGTTTGGTTGAGAATCAGAGTGACCACATTTCAAAACATGTCCTGTGCACCTTTAGATGCTCAGAAAATTTCTTGAATGTGAGGGTAATTACTTTGACTTGATTTTTTTCTTCCCCAAGCATTTCATAACAGTATCTTTTCTTTTGCTCATTGAAGTTTGATTACTTTTTTTTTAAATGGGTTGATTACAAGAATTTTAAAGGGTTAATTAGGCTGAACTGTGGTCTCACCTGAAACATAGTGATTTACAAAGGCTGTTCTGTATTAATAAACATGACCATGTTTAAAAATCCATTTTTCCCGTTGATTCTAGGTACAGCTGCTTTAGAAGAAGATGCTCAAATTCTTAAAGTCATTGAAGCATATTGCACAAGTGCCAAAACACGTCAAACACTAAATTCAAGTAAGTTAGAAATTATTGAAATGACTTAACTAAAACACAATTAGACAGTTTGCAAAAAGAGGTGTGTATGTTCTCAGGCCTTTGCAAGTAGCAAGCTGGACCTGGAAGAAATAATAACCTGTTTCTGGCTTAGTATCAGTGTCAAATGTTTAAGTATTGGATGTCAATGACCATGGTTAGAGACTATAATTCTTTCAGTATTTCTTATAAATAAATAAAGTGAGTACTTGTTATGGTTTAAAATTGCACAGAACTTCACTAATGAATGAGAGGTGTCTGAACTGAGTATGACACTTGATCAGTAAGCTTTTGAAGAATCTGGTAAGTAGTGAGGAGGAATAAAGAAGTAATCACAGTTTTGGAGGAGTCTATTTTTGTTTTGTTCTGTTCAACAAAGACTTCTGACATGGAAAAGTAACCTAGACCTAGAAAAATTACTTTCATTGCCACTAGTTGTTTTTAGTATTAATTCCAAATTTTAATCCCATGTTGTAATTTCTAGAGAAATTGTTCTCCGATCTGTGTGTTGCTTAAAGCCATTTTTAGTTTCTCAGATCAATATCTAGCTTATTGAAAACCTGTAACGTGCCTCTGGGGTCCTACTTCATTTAATCCAAATCGAGGTTGCCATGTGGAGTTCCTCTGTGTTGTAAGTAAAACTTTGCGCAAAGCAGGGGAGCCCACCAGCATGTGTTCCATTTACACAAGGAAGGAGAAAATGCTGTTGTATTTGTTCTGATTTGCACACTTCTTTTTTGCACTGATGAATACCAATATAATTCAGGGATCCTTGGAACACAGTATAATGATCCTGAAGTACTTGGCTGGTTTTGCTGTTGTCAGGAGCTAGAAGAGTGGATGTTATAACTTACTCCTCGTCCACTAAAGCTGTGAAAATTTGCAGTATTAATCATTGTTACTGCTCCCCACAGTGCTCTGTGGCTGTTTTGCTTCCAAGCAAAAGCACTTTATGCTGACAGTTGAGAAGTCTCAAAATGCAGTTGCAAACTTAGTTCATGGATTTTTCCTAATGTGTGCTCGCTTATTGTTATCACCTTGAAAAAAATGCAGCTTCTTTGTATTCATAGGTACTTTTTAATTGGAATATGGCCCTTGTATTAGATTGTAGAAACTTTTGAAGTAACAGCAAAAACCTTCATTTTAATTTTTCTGTCTTGATGAACTGTAGGCCTCCAAGGTGATAACATTAGCTACGATTACTTACATTTTTATTAATACTAATCTATTTTATGGCCCTACAGTTATTACAATAGTGTGTTTAATTGGATAAAAGAAAATGAATGTGTTCAAAAAGACATACTGTTGTTCCAAACAAAATTAAATGAGATGGTGGCTGTTTAAATGTCTCAACAGTGATCTTTTGATTATTTCTAACGATAATGTGACAAGAAATGGTTGGGGAAACATTTGCACTTGCACAGTAGTGTGTGTGCAGATATAAAATGAATATAATTTTTTTTTTGCTTTTTTGCCTGTTTTTTTCTTTTCTATGTATATTTAAGAAATATACATAGTGCTGTGGGTATCATTGCATACATCAGAACTCAGCAGCTTTTATTTGCTCTTAGTTGCAGCAAGAAACAATTTTTTTTAATTGATTAAGCACACAGCTGCCTTGTTTGGAAAGAG